ACTCCTGTTTCTACGTATGATCCTGTGTTAACCTGAATCAGATATGCCACACCAGCATCTTTTGCACTTAAAGTCCAGACTCCTTTCACATGGGTTCTGGTCCCCAGGATGGAGGTCTGGCCGCTGCCAGTGTTGCTGCTTTCAGTGACCCCTACCACTCACAGCGAGCCCGGCTTGCTGTGCTCCAGCCTCACTGGCCTTTTTGCTGCACCTCAGATACAAGCTCTTGCAACAAGACGAAGGACAACCTACCTTGGTAGTCTCTAAGATTCATATTTTCTCCTTTAAGGGAAGTCAGCCTGCAAGACCACTTTGGGGGCCCGTGCATTTGCTTTTTCCGCTCTCTGGAATGCTTTACTGACACATTTTGCTTTCCTGGATCTTACATCTCTTTCAGACCTCAGCTTAATTGTCACTTCCTCAGAGAACTTCCCTGCCCACTCAATCTACTCAGGCTTTTTCCTGTAATTATCTCCTCCACTTATTCTTTTTCCTCACTGGCACTTATCAACACTCTAATTATACATGTATTTGTTTACTGTCTGTCTCTTCTACCTGACCCTGAATTACCTGAGGATGGGATGTGCCAGTTTTGTTTACTGTGATGTCCCTCATCCCTAGCTAACATAACCTAGAACATCAAGGAGGCTCAGTAAATATTGGTTGGAATGCAAAATTGGAATGAGGCTCAGAGAGGCTAGATAACTTGTCCAAAGTCGCACAAAGCTGGGGATTTAAAAATATACCCTAAAACCTTTTATAAGCATCAAAGCTGGAGATTTAAAAATACACCCTAAAACCTATGTATTTTCAATATGAATTGGTTTTTCCAAACTGTGTATCTTGAACACTAGTGTCCTGAGGAACCTTAATAGTGTGTCAAGAATAAAAAGGGATCTGTGTTCAAATAATTTGTAGATATGATGCTCCCCTCCCTGTGTCCATGTGCTCTCATTGTTCAACACCTGCCCATGGGTGATAACACACTGGGGTCTGTTGGGGGGGAATAGGGGAGGGACATTGGGGGATAGGGAGGTTGGGGAGGGATAACAAGGGGAGAAATGCCAGATATAGGTGATGGTGGGATGGAGGCAGCAAACCACATTGCCATGTAGGTACCTATGCAACAATCCTGCATGTTCTGCACATGTACCCCAGAACCTAAAGTGCAATTACATATAAATATATATATATAAAGAAATACATTTCCTAAGGCTATAGCTACCATAGGGAGTGATGCCTCTGATGGATCTGGGCAACGTTTCCCAGTTTATATAATACTGAGAAGCCAATACATTTGTGTGACTTGCTTTATTGTGACACTCTCTTCACTATGATGGTCTGGAACCAAACGTGCAATATTTCCAAGATGCTCCTGTGAAAAAAATATATATAAAAAAAATAAATTGTGGATATGATGCAACTGTTTGAAGAAAATGGAACATATTTCTTTTCTGCAGTATATCCCAGGGACTTTAATATGCAAATGTGCATTGTGACTCTCCAAGAAACTAATATGCTATGCAGCATTTCCCACCAGTGTTTGGCCATGATTTACTTTTTTTGCATGTAAATAATATCTTGTGGGACCACAGTATTCAGCAGAAGCCAGGGTGAGAGTCACTCAACGACACCCTGCTTATCCCCAGGAAGTAGGGAAATAGAAGTTAGCCAATTATCTATTAGCCAATTAGATTTAAATATTCTAGTATCTTTTCAAAGTTTTAGGCTTTTTTCCCTCTTCTTCAACTATGAATATGGGCCAGGGAGGGGGTAATGTCTTAGGAAATCAAGGTTAGAATGCTGAAGTTAAAGAAAGTTAAACAGAATGTAATGTATGTTATTGTGGAGAAGATATGAGAAGCATATATATATATATATATATATATTTTTTTTTTTTTTTTTTTGAGACGGAGTTTCGCTCTTGTTACCCAGGCTGGAGTGCAATGGCGCGATCTCGGCTCACCACAACCTCGGCCTCCTGGGTTCAGGCAATTTTCCTGCCTCAGCCTCCTGAGTAGCTGGGATTATAGGCACACACCACCATGCCCAGCTAATGTTTTGTATTTTTAGTAGAGACGGGGTTTCACCATGTTGACCAGGATGGTCTCGATCTCTTGACCTCGTGATCCACCCGCCTCGGCCTCCCAAAGTGCTGGGATTACAGGCTTGAGCCACCGCGCCCGGCCAAGCATATATTTTTTAAAGCAACAGAGTAGAAAATACAAACTAAATAAAGTTAAATGGTTAATAACTTAAAACTGCAGGCATTTTTTCCACTTCAGTATGCATTAAAAATGACGGAGAATGGTCTTAAATGTGAACATCCCTTAATGGAGAAAGTATGAAATTACAAAATAACCAATGTAATCACACCTTAATCTTGTTAAATTGAAACACTGTAATCTACATTCAAATTTCACATATGGTCAATCTTGCAAGAGCTGGGTGGATGAGCCAATGCACTATTCGGAATTTTAAATAGAGAGTCGTTCATACCTCTCTAAAGTCCATTTACTTCTTCATGAAAAATATTTCCCTGGGACGCTTGGCTCTGTGGCTCATGCCTGTAATCCCAGAACTTTGAGAGGCTGAGGCAGGCAGATTAGGAGGTCAGGAGATCAAGATCATCCTGCCAACAAGATGAAACCCATCTATACTAAAAATACAAAAATTAGCCAGGTGTGGTGGAGTGTGCCTGCAGTTCCAACTACTCAGGAGGCTGAGGCAGGAGAATTGCTTGAACTCAGGAGCAGAAGCTGCAGTGAGCCGAGATTATGCCACTACACTCCAGCCTGGGCAGCAGTGCAAGACACCATCCCCCACCCCAAAATTAAAAAAAAAAAAAAATCCTGGGACTGAGGGAAGAGAGCTTCAAGCCAAAACAAATTTTTTTTTTTGTAATTGAAATAAAGAAAAGTTTATTTCCAGAAGACTGATACTCATGGCCAATCCTACCATAAAGAAAACAGAATACATTTCAGAAAAGTGTGTAACTATTTGAGAAGAAAATAGATTTCAGCTTTTTCTTGCCAATGAATTATTTCAAGCTGTTGAGAAACGTGATTTTTAAGAACAATAACTAAAGTGAAGCATTTTCATTCAATGCTGACTCAGTTTACCTGTCAATTGAATGGGTAGAATGTGCTACAAATTCATTGTCTAGTCATGAAACACACATTTGGGAGCAGAGTTCCAACAGTAGAGATGCCTACTTTAGATTTGAAAAATGGTAGTCCTTTGTTCAGAGGAACTACCAAATAAATGGCCTCTTCACTTCCTGTCTGGTAACCCCCTTTTTTTCTCCAGAGATGGTGGTTTCATTCTATCACTCACATTGGAATACAGTGGCACAATTATAACCCACTGGAGCCTCAGACCCCTGAGGTCCATTGGTCTCCTGCTTCAGCTTCCTTAGTATCTGGGAATATAGGAGCATGCCACCATACCTGGATTTTGTTGCAGTGACAGGGTCTTGTGATGTTGCCCAGGCTGGTCTTGAGCTCCTGACAAAGGGTCCTCCCACCTCAGCCTCCCAAAATGCTGGGATTACAGGTGTGAGCACAAAAGTCACTGCCTCTAGTCGACCTTTCTAAATATGAATACACATTCCTCTCAGATACAGTGAGATCTTACTGGAAATATGCATGATTTTAACAGATTACAAAATATCCTGGAAAGAGAAAACTGGAGAATCGTAATGTTAGAGAAATAAAAGATGATTTGTTTATGAATAATCTGGACTTCTGTATCGTATTCTTTACACGCTGCTTTACTGGGTTTTAACACTTTCACCTGGGACTTTAAATCAGCTCTTCCATGGGGACTGCTGATTATGGTAACCACAGGCTCTGCTATGATGCTCCTGACTACAACGTTACAGGGAAGATTTGGCTATTTCATTCATTCCAGCAGGCTGTTGCTACCCAGCAAGTCCCTCGTCTCTGGAGTATTTTACTGTATCTATAATAAGATGAAACAAAGGTATTTTGAAGGTTGCAGTAGACACAGCCTCCATAGGCATAGTCCTCTGGAGACTTGGAGGGAAAGAAAGACGAGGCAAAATTGCAGTCTCCGAATCCTCTGTGAACTGCATGCTCATATCAGAGCCCTCCACGAGCTTTCACCTTCCGAGAAATTCCAGGGTTTTCCTGCAATTGCACATCCACTGCCTTCTGCTTTAGTGTGTGAGTGCAATTGCATTAAGAGTACTAGAAAAAGTAAACCCTTTTTTTCCAAATCAGAAAACTGTGTGTGCTAGTGCGGCAAGAACCCCAGCTTGAAATAAGAACGTCTCTCATCTCAGTTGTGAATGAGACAGAGCAGGAAAAAAGGGCACAAAGACAAGAAGCCACCAAAATGAGATTTGGAAGACATCTTTCTCAGTCAAGGACCAGATTCCTATGCAGTAGTAGGTGAGCTGCTTTACCTCTCAGACCCTTAGTTTTCTCTTCTAACAAATGGAGTGGTTTGGACTTCCCATTTTACTGTAAGGACATGAGGGATCGTCTAATGATATAGCTTCACTATAGATGTCAAGGCATGTAGCCAAGTCTGGAATTTTAGACTCAATTTTTGAGATGAATGAATGTGCTCTAATATTTTTGCTGTTATGTTCTGAGGCTAAAGTTTCCTATTGTTTTGAGCTTACATAAGCTGACCTCATCTACTATTAGAACATATTAAGTATTTAAGAATATGAGGGTAAGCACCATAGAAAGAATAATTCAATCTAGATGTGAGAGGATCTTTTTTAAGCTTCATTAACTGATAATTATTTGAGTGCAAAACAATGCCCTTACTGTTTGATAAATGAATATTAGCCTCATGTCATGCTGATAAAAGTCATGAGCAGAACTAGACTCCTCTGCATTTGGAGAACTTTGTTATTTTGATGCTAATGGATTATGTTCATTTTATATAGATAGATATTTCGAATCTCGAATGACTCAGCAGGATGAACTTAAATTAGATTTGTCTGTCCATACTTTGCTTTTTTTTTATCAAAATGAATTATTTTAATGAATGAAAAACATTAAATCTACAGAAACTAGTCTACAGAAAAAGAAAATGTGCATTTGACATCATTTAAGGTGCCTCTTACATCAACTCCTGACTTGGAAAACTGGTATTTAAATGTCAAGAATTAAGCCTTTCTCCTGACTTCCCAGCATCGATGATTTTGAAGAATTTTTATTTTATTACACATAACATTGCTTTAGCTAAGTAAGTATATCTTCTCAGTTCCGAGTGTCCTATAAAGCCTGCTCTCCAGTCCCTCCTGCTTAGGACTCCCTGTGGTTGGGTGGAACAGGGCTCTTTCCCTTGCTCCAGATGAGAGCCCAAAGCTGGTTTGGAAGTGGGTGGCACTGCTACAAGGACCACAGCCTCACAGTTCTCCAGCATCACATCCCTGTACAAGGCCCTCTGGTCAGGCACCATCATACCCCATTCCTTCTTAGTGAAGTACACAGCCACGTCATCAAAAGCCACTGATTCCTGGGGCCTGGCTGTTGAGGACACAGTTGTCATCGTCTGACCTTTTATTCCTTTCTTGGGTAAAGGTAAAAGACCCAGGTGCGTGGGTTCCTGCCGGCCTCTGCAGCTTTTCAGCAAGCAGAGATGGTGTTTGCTTCTTGTCGAGCCTCACAAACCAAATCATACTTTGCTTTTTAGTGTGTCCTGAATATCTTGATGGTAGTCTTATATTACAATGTGTACTTCACATAATTTATCTATCATGACCTAAAGTTTATGACGATAGAAGAATTTGATCATTAAAATCATGATTATGTTTTTATTCGAAAGTAGAGCATTGTGATTATTTTCCCCCAAAAAAGTGTTCTCAGGTTCAGCAATAGGAAATAACTTATTAAAACTGCTTTACAATGTATGCTCTTTTGGAGTGTGTTAAATATTACGTCTTTGTAGATATTAGCTTCTTATAATGGGGAGTTGTATTAGTCTGAGTAGGCTGCAGATGTAATAAGTAACCTTCAAATTTCAACGGCTTTGAATAATGAGGGTTTGCTTCTTGCTCATGTTATACAGTTCCAATGCACACTGGTGGGAGTGGGGAGCAGAGAGAAGCATTGGCCAGGGAATGGGTTCTGCCCATCAGAGTCATGCAGCGACCCAGGTTTCTTCTGTCTTGTGGCTCCATCCCTCTCTAGGTCCCTGGGGTTTTCTCTATTCAGTAGGTGGCTAGAAAAGGGGAGTAAGGATTATAAATGGTATGATTTTCTTACTTGGCTCAGTGTGGAAATAGCGGGGCCCAATTTCTACACAGGTTCCATTGGCCGAATCTCTGACATGAGTATATGGTCTGGTGGGGTGACCAGAAAGAAGAGAGGACATCAATGTTGACCAGCACTAACTGTCCCCTCCACAAGATCGAGACACCAACTCGAGGATACTTAAGATAGGTTTGGTGGACACTTAATACACAGAAATCTTATTCTGACCACAAATGATCAAGTTATGATTAAGGTATAATAAGATCAAGGTAAATTAAGACAAGTAACGTGTACAAATAATCATACCTTTTATAAAAGATGATGGCTATGCATCCAGAAAGCTATAAATACTGATTAAGAGAGGGATAAAGTCTACAATTTGTGAGGACTGGGAAATTTTCTTGATATGATGGTACTGACATTGAGCTACATATTCAACAACCAGAATTCTAGATTGCTTCTGTCATGTGCTTGCTGCAAAATCCTGAACAAAATTTCTGAACCTCAATGTTCTCATATGAATATTCATATATTCTCATATATAAATATCATAAGGCCATCTGAAGGGGGATGTTCAAATTAGGTCATGAATAGGGAAAGCTTTTGTGAATGATGGTTCAAATATCAAATTAAAGCCACTGCTGTTACTGTTATTATTTTTTAAATTCTGTGCCCACAGGCCAGGCTTGTGTTTATAAAACATTATTTGGCATACATACATATACAAACACAGACACACCTGCACACACCAAACACTCTCACACACAAACTTTCAGATCGTAAGATAAGAATTAAATGCTCTATTTTTTTGGTCTTCAGAATGAAGCCGAGAGTCAATGCCTGCATACTTGGTTTCCCTGGCCCCTAATACATCTTGAATCTGTGCTAGTTTTATAACCTGTGCTTGGAAAGTAGCATCAATTACCTGTGTCTGTTCAGGTAGGCTGGGTGTGGGACTCTGTCCTTTCTGGCTCATAATACTGTTAAGAGCTTCAGGCAAAATTAAGTTTGTTAAAGCATTTTTTAAACTGTGAAATATATATTAAAGGGAAGTTTATTATGTGTTTGCCTAGTTTAAGTTCTAAATGTCTATCTAGTTAGTTTGGGGGTCATCCCTATAAAAAGTTATTTAAGGCCAGGCGCAGTGGCTCATGCCTGTAAACCCAGCACTTTGGGAGGCCGAAGTGGGTGGATCACCTGAGGTTGGGAGTTTGAGACCAGCCTGACCAACATGGAGCCTGACCACCCATCTCTACTAAAAATAAAAGAATAAAATAAATTTAAAAAAATTAGCTTGGCATGGGGGTGCATGCCTGTAATCCCATCCCAGCTACTCAGGAGGCTGAGGCAGGAGAATCACTTGAACCTAGGAGACGAAGGTTGCAGTAAGCTGAGATTGAGTCACTGCACTCCAGCCTGGGCAACAAGAGCGGAACTCTGTCTCAAAAAAAAAAAAGTTATTTAAATTACACCTTTATATACCCTTTTAGCCAAAATCTAGTGTGCTTTAAATAACACATTAAAGCAGCAATTATAAAGAAGTCATTTAATATCTGGCATTCATTATTTTTGTTAACCTTGTTTTTACTGATCTCTAAATACCCAGGTTGCTAATTCTCAATAATATTATAACATTCCATTCTCATAATGTCACATTCTTTTGTTGTGGAGTGCAGAACACAGGGAGTTAGAGACTATATATTTCTCAGGAATCTCAAACCTACCTTGGGTGATCCTCAGAGCCTGGGATCAGCATAACCATGTGCTTAAAAACACATTCCAGGGGCTAGATGAACAAAGCCATGCCATGCTTTGGAACCTGGCCCCAAATTTCCTATAATCGGCAAGATCAAACCTTTCTCCTCAATTCTTCACTTTCAAGCTGTGGCTACCTGGATGACTGTCTTAGAAAAATGCTTGGCTGATGAGTTGTCAGAGTTAACATCTAGGGAGGTATGATGACGATTCTTTAGCTGACATTATTGACTTAGAGCTGGGAAGACACAAAGGCATAGTTTTCTTTGGATCAGCAAGTTCCACCTCTAAATTCTGACAAACCATGGTGTCTTCAATTGTCTATGAGACTATAGAGAAATTCGCAAGATAAAATTAGATTATCTCTGCAACAATAACTCTAAGATGTATGTGACTTTTATTATGGCCAGTTCCCATTTGTCCACACCCCAGGCCATGCTCTGTGTGGTTTCTAAACTGAAAATGGGATTGCTGAATCAAGTTCTAACACGTCGCAGCATCGATCCCTCTTGATCCCTCCCTTGTCATACACTCAGCTCTGGATCACTCTTTCTGGCAGTTATCCACGTTCCCAAGTGTTTCCATATTCTTCACCCACTTTTAGAAATGGCTTTTGCCTTTTCAGCCACCTGGAGAATGACTACTCATTTTTCACAACTCGCATTAAAAATTCCTATCTCTGGGAGGCCTGCCAGGATGCACCAGGCAGAATGAAGACTGTCTTATGTGTGATCACATAGCACGTTATATGTAGGACTTTTGCAGACTTCAGCCAACATATTGTGGCTGTCTCACTCTTTTGTGTTCCTCAAGCAGATTGTGAGCTCCTTAAACACTGAGATGACATTTTATTTTTTGCATCCCCAAAGCCTAGCACCTGCCCTGGCACTTTGTAAGTATTAAGAAAACACACAGTGAATGAATAAATGAATGAATGAATGAATGACCATCCGTCTTAGAAGCAGCAGGGGAATTACAAGATCAAGTGATAGACATGTGTGCCTACTCTGAAAAGTTAAGAATTACAAATTGAGACCCACACTTCAAATCAAGAGTGGGGAAAAAAAATAGGTAGTAATTGCAGAGGGAGGGCAGCTAAGCATGTGGCTGCTTTGGATATTTACTCATCAGACCAGACTGAAGCAGTCTTAATCAGGGAAAATCAATCTGCCTGTGTTTCAGTGTAAGCATAAACATGCTGACAGTAGATGCCACATAGGTGTTCTGAAAAATCTTACATCAACCTCAAGTTAGTTATAGCTTCATTTACTTTCTGTGTATAAGTTTGAATTGTTTATACTTACCTAGAAGGGCGAATTTATCTTCTGCAGGCAGTGTTCTATATCATGTCACACCTGAGGTCAAATGTCTTTTAATGCACAAAATACAGTCCAAACTCTGCCTGAGATGCCAGCTCTTCTCCAACTCGATACAGTTGGTGTTCACTATTCTTTATATTTACCAGCTATCTCAGCAAAAATTGTCTACTGTCTTCCTCCATATCCTGTCGCCACCCTTCACGAGTCCTTTTATTTCCTCCCATACCAGCATCATCCTGAAACTTTTGTGGTACCACACATGCCAAAGGTGTCTTCATCCTCTGAGTCGTCCTTTCCATTCAAATCATCACATATTTGTGCTGTCTTCTGCTTCGTAAGAGAAATTGCTTAACAGAATTCAACTTTAAATTTTCCATAAGGTTTTGTTCGTTGTTTCCCCAGACTTATTTTACAGCTACTGATGGAAGGAACTTCGCTTCTTTGTGTTCAATTGTAGCAGCCAACACAAGGTCTTGATGATCTTGAGTGTGTAATGAATGCTTGTTGATATTTGAAAATGATACCTGGGTTTATTGGTTTATTTATTTGAAATGAAGTCTTGTTCTGTCACCCAGGCTGGGGTGCAGTGGTGCAGTCTCTGCTCACTGCAGCCTCTGCCACATGGGTTCAAGCAATTCTCCTGCCTCAGCCTCCCGAGTAGCTGGGACTACAGGCATGCGCCGCCATGCCTGGCTAATTTTTGTATTTTTAGTAGAGACAGGATTTCAACATGTTATCCAGGATGGTCTCGATCTCCTAACCTCATGATCCGCCCACCTCAGCCTCCCAAAGTGTTGGGATTACAGGTGTGAGCCACCGCATCCAGCCTGATGCCTGGATTTACTAATAACAGAAAATTAATCTTTGGAATAGAAGTGTCTATACAGAGAGATATGGTGATTCCTCTGGTGTCAGAGGCATGGGATTTAATTTGTAGCTCTGTTTTCCCACTGGCAATAGATCACCAAGGTGATCAGTATCAACTCTTTATGTTTTCATTGTCTCGTTGGTAAAACGGGATGATAGTGATAGTTGTGGAAAGAAAAACATGAAAATAAACTCCATGTAAAGGTTATGCTTCATGGCCAGTATTCATTAAATATAAGCTGGTATTTTAGTGATTTTATCTTTTGTAAGTCCTGGGGCCCAACTTGCTGTGGTCACATCCCAATTCTTTCACTTATGTATGATCTCTTACCTTGGGCACATCACTTAACTCCCAAGCCTCTGTTTCTCTCTCTGTAAAATAATCAGGGCAGTAATACTGTCCTCCCAGTGTCATTTTGAGAAATAAATGAGACTACGCATGTAGCACACTCAGCGGTGTGCATAGACCATAGTAAGCACTCAATAAATAGTAGCTGTGCTCATTGAAATTCCACTTGCCCATGCTGACATTTCCATGAAGAAAATGTTACCCTTTATCACAATAAATAAATTATTTTTCTGAAAGTTAAATCTCAAAATAGGTCATATTCCTCTTTGGGCCTTCCTCTTGCCATGGTGTTTGTCGTTCCATGCATTTGTTTGACGCAATTGTTCTTTTGCAGGAATGAGCTTTCTGTGAAAGGGTAGTCTTGTCTAAGTGATTTATATGTATCTGATGTAAGCTTCACAGCGCTTGACAGGCAGGGCCATCTATTACCACACCATGGAAAGTATGCAGACATATGGCAGGATACCACTGAGCCATGTTCCTTAGGTGTGGTCAGTCCTGATGTCTCCTTCAGTGCCTGTGCCGCCTACCCACTGAAGAGCTCACACACACTCCTGCTCACGTGAAACAAGTACATCTGTTGGCTGGAGTGTTTACATGGAATCTTATTTCCTCCCCCTAGAGAAGAGCCTATGGCTGTTTTTAAGAAGGGATCAACATACCATAGATTTCCTGGTAGGAGGATTAACAAATATGTTTCTTTTGAATTCCCTCTCGGGGGAAAAATGTACGATCAAGTTGTTACCTCTATTCTAACCTAGTCAAGCTTCATTGGTTTGCAGGTCAATCTCAAAATATAGGATTTTGTTTGAATCTCAGATACAGCATAGCCAACTCCTGCATAAATGCCAGCTAGGTACGGTGTATGTGTGTGTGAAATTCCTCATAAGAAGACAAAAGAAAAAGTTGTTTTTGCCAAATTGAGTGTATACGCTTTCTGGGATAGTGATATTCCTCTTACAATATTTAATATATTGTTGAAAGTCACTAAAAATTTATCTAACAGATTTGCATGGCACATCACATATCGTGTGAGTTGTTTGGGACACAGCATATTTATGTTTCTATATGACACTCTCATTGGGAATTTTATGTCAAGACATAAAAATCCATTGACAGAAGATTAGGTCAGTTTTTTGTTTTTACTTTGGTTTAATTTATGCTTTCCAAAGTTGATCTTTAATCTCTCTTCGTTTTCAGCTAAACCCACTTCAGTAAGACTTTTGTTTCCAAATGCTTCACCAGAGCAGTGTTTGTCAGGGTCCACCGTGAACCTCATGGCTAAATCCAGTGGCCTGTGCTCAGTCCCCATCTTACTTGATCTACCCCAGGATTTGACACAGTTAATCACTCCTCCTAAAACTCTTTTCTCTTTGACTTCTTGGTTATCACACTTGATTCTCCTCTGGTTTCTCCTTCTCAGTATCCTTTGCTGGGGGCTGGCCTAGTCTCTTCCCTTCCACGGCCCTGTCATGCGTCTTTGTAGCTTTTCTCTCTTGTGTTCTCTCTCTGGGTGATTGCATCTCGGGCCATATCTTTAATGCAACTGAATTGCTAATGACTGTTGCCCCTTTGACTCCGTTCCAGCCACACTAGCCTCTTTCCCTGCCTTGAAAATCCCAAATGAGTTTCTACCTTTACACTTGGTATTCACCATCCATATACAGTTGCTCTCCCTGGTAGCCGAATGGCCCCTTCTGTCACTTCCTGGAACCTTTGGTTGCTATGTTATCAGTGAAGTCCTTCCTGACCTGCCTATGTGTGTGAGCTCATAACATAACCACTCATTCTAATGCTTATTTAATTACTTTGATCAGGCAGGGGCCCATCAGGAAACAGAGGGCGCACTTCTGTAAAGGGTTTTACAGAAGAGAGATTAACAAAGGAAATACATATGAAGGTAGAGGCAGGTTAAGGGAATTGACCAGGAATGGTGAACTACCCAGGGATGGGAAACCATGAAGCAGCTGTTTTCACCTCCAGGACTGAAAAACCAAGGGAAGACAACTATATTACCCAAGACGTTTTGCAACCTGGAGCTATGAAAGATGGACTACTCAACAGGAATGTTGCTGGAGAGGAGCATAGCCACTTCCAAGAAAGACTGTGAAGACCCAAGGGAGACCGAGAGGGAGAGGAAGATCAACTGGGAAGAGATACCCTGGGCTTTCTCTTCTTTGGCCTTCTGAACTCCGTCTATTGTGTTCCATTGACTGAATCAATAAGATTTCACAGGGTATGTGAAGGTATCTCAGGTTCAGCTTCCTGCCACCCAGAGCAGAGCAGAGCAGAAAAAGGTGGGGAATGGATCCAGGGGAGCTTGGCACTTGGGAATGTGACATTCTACCCTGCATGGATCATGACAAAATCAGCATTCAATGTTATTCCCTCCTTTTTGATAGGCTAACCTCTATACCATCCAAACTAACATTGGTTGAAGTCATAACAAGCCAGTGTGTCCTCTCCAGACAGCAGGAGTGGTGTTCAAATGTTTAACAACCAGTGTGACACAGTCACAACCGTTAGAACAGTAACCCAACAAATGAGAGCAATACGCAATACTGGGTCCAAAATGGAACATTTGCAAGAGATGCTGCAATGTGAATATTTGAAAGGGGTGATTTTTTTTTTCCTGAGGATATTTGAGAAAATTGTGCCCTTATATTCTGGAATCCGTGTGATCTATTCACAAGCAATGTGGTGGATAAACTTAATGGAAAAGGCATCTCATTTAAACCCCCAACAACTGTACTCAGTTTTTTTTTCATTTTCGGATTTGGAACCTAAGGTTCAGTTATGGGTTGTTTTGCCTAAGACCATTCATTTTGCTGTGGGGGAGCTAGAACTGACACCCAGGCTTTCTGACTCCAAAGTCCCAGCTCTTGACGGGCCTTGATATTAAGACTGGATCCCTGATGGAATAGTGGTGGTTTCAGGACAGAAACTGCCTATTTCTAGCTTTTTATGTTTTTTCTTTCTTTATTTTCATCTTTATTTTTCCCAGAGACAGAGTCTCACTCTGTTGCTGAGGCTGGAGTGCAGTGATACTGCTGCCTGTAATTCTTGGGCTCAAGCAATACTCCTGCCTGAGCTTCCAACTAGCTAGGACTATGGGAACACTCCATTATGCCTAGATATTTATGTTTTATGTTTTTAAATAGAGATTCGGTCTTACGGAGTTGCTCATGCTGGCCTCAAATGAACTTTCACTTTTTAAATGTTTCAGTAGAAATCCCTGGGAAAGTCTCTTCTCTTTTTATTTACTATATTATCTTTCAAAAATCATTTGGATGAATTTGGCTAAAATCTAAAGCAGGGTCTAAAGTTTCTGTGTGTTTCTCTGCCTTACCACATCCTTCACCCAAACTCTGTATACAAAAGGCACCTGAAATATACATGTTAACTGTCTGAATGGAATTCCTTCTTACTTAGGACTGCTGTGTTAGGGTCAGAATTCCGAAGTGTGAATAGTTACAGCAGGTGACCCATATGTTGTTCTGACACAGATACCCGTGAGGCATAATTGCTACAGTTTACCTTGGACTGTGCTCTTTTTAAAACTATAGGCCACCTGCACAAAACAATTGGCAAACTTGAATTTCCTTACGTACTGTGTTATTTCTACTTTTCTAAACCCCAATTTCCTGCTTCCCCTTTCTCTGCTTTACTACTGTCAATAGAACACCGACGAGAAATTACTCATTCAAGCTCTTCCTTTGCAATAATTATTTTGAATCCTTAAATCCTGACCTATACCTGTTGAGGTTCCCAGATGGGCTAGGCTACCTGTGTGGATAATTGGAAGTCTCCTCTGGGTACCACTTTTTCCATCACAGCTTATAATGCCTTTGTAAAAATGAACAAATTTTGAGGACTGGAGGAAGCAAAGATGATTATTATGACCGGGAGCATGTTGGAACCTTGATTTTTTTGGTATGTGTACATCACACTTGTCTGCCTAAGTTA